GTTGTTGTTGTTGTTGTTGTTGTTGTTGTTGTTGTTGTTGTTGTTGTTGTTGTTGTTGTTGTTGTTGTTGTTGGTTGTTGTTGTTGTTGTTGTTGTTGTTGTTGTTGTTGTTGTTGTTGTTGTTGCTGGTTGTTGTTGCTGGTTGTTGTTGCTGGTTGTTGTTGTTGTTGTTGTTGTTGTTGTTGTTGTTGTTGTTGTTGTTGTTGTTGTTGTTGTTGTTGTTGTTGTTGTTGTTGTTGTTGTTGTTGTTGTTGTTGTTGTTGTTGTTGTTGTTGTTGTTGTTGTTGTTGTTGTTGTTGGTGTTGTTGGTGTTGTTGGTGTGTTGGTGTTGTTGGTGTTGTTGTGTTGTTGGTGTTGTTGTTGTTGTTGTTGTTGTTGTTGTTGTTGTTGTTGTTGTTGTTGTTGTTGTTGTTGTTGTTGTTGTTGTTGTTGTTGTTGTTGTTGTTGTGTTGTTGTTGTTGTTGTGTTGTTGTTGTTGTTGTTGTTGTTGTTGTTGTTGTTGTTGTTGTTGTTGTTGTTGTTGTTGTTGTTGTTGTTGTTGTTGTGTAGTTGTTGTTGTTGTTGTTGTTGTTGTTGTTGTTGTTGTTGTTGTTGTTGTTGTTGTTGTTGTTGTTGTTGTTGTTGTTGTTGTTGTTGTTGTTGTTGTTGTTGTTGTTGTTGTTGTTGTTGTTGTTGTTGTTGTTGTTGTTGTTGTTGTTGTTGTTGGTTGTTGTTGTTGTTGTTGTTGTTGTTGTTGTTGTTGTTGTTGTTGTTGTTGTTGTTGTTGTTGTTGTTGTTGTTGTTAACTTTATACTTTTTAATATTTCGCCCCCCAAACAAACACTATTCGACAGAAACTTAGATTGAGACGTACGTGTGCATAATTGCACAACTACTGGCCTGCCCCTTAATATTTGTTTATCGGCTCGTGAGATTCAATCCGGGGGGGTTGAGGCTCCGCGCCTGGCAGCTGGCCTGCGGAAGGGCAGATTCAGCAGCAAACTGAGTTAGCATGGAAGCTAAGGGTCCCCTTTTGGTACGGTTTTGGAAAAACAAATGAAAAGGACACCCAACCAGCTGTGGTCTGAGAAGAACACGCATGGAAATTGTGAACAGGCACCGTTTTTGGGCGCCTCGTGTTTTGTCATACAACGCGAAGAGACCAGGTGAGTGCTTGCGCAACTAAAGTTGCACACCATCCTTCAAAATGGCGCAACAAAGAGACAAGCGCCAAGCCACCACGGCTGCCTGAAAACGGCTTGGTGAATTGGAGCTAACAAAATGGTGAGTTGACGGCCCCGGTCTGGCAAGCGATTGTGCAAAAACCCAAGACCCAGTAGCTGACAATCCCAAAGGAAAGGGTTCACCTGCACATCATGTTCGACGCATCTTGCCGGCCCCGGTCATAGGACCTGCGTTGATTTCTGCCTCAAGCAAGCTGACCGTAGCACCTCAGCCAAACTGGAATGCCTGTTGCGTTCCCTATGAGGCAGGATGTGCATCGGCAGCCTAAACAGCGGGTTGCGCCATCTTGACGCAGTGCATAATTATCAATCCAGGTCACTCCATGAAGATACCGATCTGTAAGAAGGCACGGGCGAAAGACACCTGGCCTCACATACAGTGCGAGCAAAAGGATTCTGCAGAAGGAGCCAACAAATCCCAACACACCCAAGCCATTCCTGACACGAATCTTGGTCCCCGGGACGTGTTGTTGAGCCACAGGTCTTATTGTTGAATGTTTTCGCAAACTGCCGCCAGGTTGGGATATGCCCAGATTCCCTTGGCCTCAACCACAGCTTTTCACGGGCACACCAAACATATGTTCAGTCAAACTGTAAAACAAGAATTGTCAACCTCTACATATACATGTCTATACATAATATAGAAATATATATATATATATATCTATTCCTTTTGGAGCCCCCAGGAACCATCTTGCCTCCCATCGAAGGCTGCCGCAAAGGCCTCATCGATCTTGCCCGCCTGCCGGAGACCCCGGGACAGACGAGTGCGACATTTACTGGGGAACACCTTCCCACATGTTCTCTGAACATAAAATGCCCATTTGTTTGAACCCGTTTAGGGTCACCCAAATAATTCCAAAACCTGACTCCCAAGTAAAGAGTCTGCACCAAGTGATCTTGTTTTACCCCGAATCGGGGAGCATTTCTTGTGCTGTGTAGGAGGACATGGTTCAGTGGCTCTTGGGGCGATGCGTCTTGTTGGCAGTGCCGTGAAATAGGTGTCCCCTTTGGGAGGGGTGCCCTTCTTGCATTGGCTTCAAAGGAAAAAAACAACGTCAAAAGGAGCAACCCATCTTGGGGACGGTTTCCACTTGGCGAGAAGCACAAATAGGAAGTGCCAGCCCAAGCTGGGGACAAAAGTCGAGCAAAGCTTTTCCCAGAACAGTAAGGATCTGTTCTATTTGTTTGTAGGCGAGGTCATGCGTGATAGCCATTCAATTTTGAGACATTCACAGCCATTGCAACCAACTGCACAAAGGAGGCCAAAGCAGTAGCATCTGGCCGCTTGGAGTGATTGACAAGTTCCCGATATCAACGACCGTATGAGTTGCTCCTGCAATCTGGGTAAACCTCACCAACTTCAAATATGGGATCCTAAAAACCGCTGTTTCATCATGAATTCGCGCCGTTGCCCGGCCTCCACGTGGTGGCAGCTTGTGGGCTCCTGAAAGGAAACCAACAGGGCGGCAGCCAGACATCCAGGCACTGTGGCCGGCTTCAAACACGAGATGTCACCCAAAGCCCAACTCTCAAACGACAATACCCAGTGAAAACATTTATGGACCAAACAAAACAGCCTGCGAAATGGCCGCCTATGAGCATTTCAATCACGTGTCTCAGATTCATCGTTTAAGGGTTGCGGGCCTTTTCAGCCGGGCTTCTGTCTGGTGGGGCTGCAACACAATTAACAGGCAAGAAACATTGCACTCACTGCCAACTGCCACGCATGCACCGAAAAAAGAACATACCACGACCCATCACACAACAAACCCACCTCAACAAAACAAACACACCCACAATCACAAACGCAAACAACACAACAGACAAGCAGACAGATAGGCAAACAGGCAGGCGGGCTGGCAGGCAGACAAACAGGCAGGCAGGCAAACAGGCAGGCAGGCAAACAGATTGACTGACTGACTGACTGACTGACAAACAAACAAGCAAGCAAGCAAGCAAGCAAACACACAAACAAACAAACAAACAAACAAACAAACAAACAAGCAAACTCACGCCCCAAAGCAACAATTACATCTTCACCACTGCCAGCACACAAAGTCAGTCTTCAGCCAAATAGACACTTGAGACACCTGCCTCTCACCAGATCAGCTCAAAGGAATGAACCTGTTCGGTGAACCCAGTCGTTGCTTCAACCAGCCGCAGGGTGATGGGCGTGCAATCAGCGGTTGACCTGCAAACATCTGTTTCTGGGATACACAGCCTCTCTTTGGCCATATCAAGAGTATGTACACCATTTTTCCCTAGTGGTTTGGGGGTAGTTGGTATGAGCCCCTTGGTTCATGAACCACTATGGCTTCATGAACGTAGCTCGCTCGGCAAAACCTCCGCCAGCTCACTTCCTGCCTGCAGCTCCAGGCCGCGAAGCTCTAGCTGTACACAGCCGAAACCCCTGGCCTCGTGTGGCTCTGGCAGGCGGCCAGAAGCTGTTGCGGTGCGTGGTTTCGGCAACTAAACGGTCAGATTCGGCAACTAAACCATGGGATTCGGCAACTACGCTGCGTTCAGAAGCTGGAAATGTAAGAAAACCAAGTATGCCAGCAGTGTATATGCATATGAATGTATGGCCGATGCCTACGTACAATGTGTGGCCGAAATGTGTCTTCGTGAGTGCATACGTGCGTGCGTGCGTGTTTGCCTGTGATTTGTGGCTGTGTTGCTGTTTCTTTGTGTTGATGTTTATGTGTATTGCTGTTTCTTTGTGTTGCTGTTTCTTTGTGTTGCTGTTTGTGTGTGTGTGTGTGTGTGTGCGAATGAAATGTGTGTGTGTGTGTGAAATGTGTGTGTGTGTGTTGTGTGTGTGTGTGTCTGCGTTGTGTGTTGTGTGTTGTGTGTATTGTGTGTTGTGTGCTCTGTGTGCTGTCTGTGTGCAGTCTGTGTGCTGTGTGTGTGTGTGTGCGTTGTGTGTTGTGTGTTGTGTGTTGTGTGTTGTGTGTTGTGTGTATTGTGTGTGGTGTGCTGTGTGTTGTGTGTGTGGATGTGTTGTGGGTTGTGGGTTGTGTGTGTGTGTGTTTGTCTGACATGTATGCCAACAATGTATACATACATATATGGCGTGTATGTAAATTACAGTTCTGTATGTAGCAGGCCTGTCTACAGTGTAAACACGCACAACATAGTAACATGAAGGTGTGCATGGGGAGGCGATGTGTAGGCCCTTGTACATGCCTGTTTAGTGTACAGTATTTTGTTTAGTCTATTCTCAGTCATATACATGCTAATTAGTGTATGTATAAGTTTACTACTAGCAGTATTGCGGAGGACTGCCCGGGGTGGGGGGGGGGGCCTTAAGCGAGGGTATCCAACAGTTGGCCCTGAAACTTTGCAACCAACTCGAACAAAGCTGGCCAGAAACACGGGGTGGGCAAAGGAGTCACAAGGTGCTGTACGCAAAGCAGGCTGCCAAATAAGATGCTCCCCAGATCATGGCTGCCCAAAAGAATCCCTACAAGTTGTCTCGTGGGAGTTTTTGGCTTGCTCCCAGGACCTCCGAAGCCACATGCAAACGAGCCGCACTCAGTTGGGCAAGCTCATATCGACACCAAAGACGCCTAAACTCAAAACAGAACCGCAGCTCAGGCTCTATGACACACAGCAAAAGCCTTTTGCAAATTCACAGCTCTGAATGATGGCCTGTCAGCATCATTGTTGACAGCCAACTTGCATCAAGTCCAAGGCTGCCGAAACCATATTCGATTGTTGGCCCTGGCACAGTTGGCATTATTGTGGAAGACGCATGTACCAGCACCAACAAAAACCGACAACACAAAAGGAACTTGCATTGTTCCTGTTGAGACTGCAGAGGCTCATATATCGTGTGCTGGTGGCATGTGCACCTTTGTGGGGGCGTGGTCGGGATCCCCACACAAAACATGGGATGCCCAAAAGGGGAGTTGTAGGCGCCTTGCCCTCCCACTTGATTTCAATCCTTGGTGCCATCCAAAAGTCACCAGGACCCGGTGGCAAAGGCTTGTTCCGTATTTGATCACTGTCGCCAACAACTGGCTGTGTGTTTGGTCATTTATCGTTGTCGTGTTTCCAGGGTGCACATGTGAATGATAATCCCCTGCACATGGCTCAGGTCAGGAGCCAAACTAAGAGCTCCGTCCGTTCACGCACGTCACACCAGGCTCCGAGTTGCCCGCATTGCAACTGACACGAGCAGCAACTGTTTTCTTTTACCAAGGCGCCACAACCCGCAGCACGCAAGCGAGGCGCTCGTGACTCCTGTCGCAAACGTGTAAAAGAACACACGAAGCCGCGAAGCCCCGAGTCCAACTGGTGTTTTTGCTGAAGGTGTCCGTTTCAGATTAAATTTCAGGGGAACCAAAAGGAAGGCCAACCCATTTTGGACTTTTAAAGGTTTTAAAACAGCAAATGACAACTTGGACTGGCCACTCCTGGGCCAGCCTCCAGCTTCCTGCCGGCGTATGAGCCAATACTTGTAAAAGGCGTGTACATATGTATATATATATATACATATGTGTACATAGAAAAATAGTTTTTTCTTCGTATGAAATTAAATGGGGAAAACACGAACATGGTTGGCAAGAAGCATATGTGAATGATGTCCACCGAGGTATCTGGTTTAACTTGAAGGTTGATTCGAAGGCGATCGTCACCTTGTGACCCGAGCTGACCCTCCCAGAAGCGTCCTTTGCGCTTTGATGGTCACCCGGAACAAATCACTCCAAAGGATCCTCTTCGGATTTGTCCACGTCTAGAAGCCCGGCTGACAAGGCTGGCGAGACTTCGGAGGATTTCCTGGCACCGCCAGGTGGAAATTCTTGAGGCCTAAATTAGGAAACCAAAGCGCGTGTCGTTTGGGGCGAAAATCTCTTGATCCACAACAGGGTTCCGCAGCTGGGCTGAAAAGGTCATAGAAGCACTGGTTCGAACACCGGGGCAGTTGGCTTCCTCGCTTGAATACTTGGAAACAAGGACGCCCCAAATAAATTGATCATGAGAGAATCGTTCGTGTTTACCCTTCGCTGAGCTCCTTGTATTTGTTTGTCTATTGTTTGACTTGCAACACCACTAATTAAAGGGAACATGTCTGCGAAGAAATCGTTGTGGTTCCTGATAGAAATCATGGTGTGACATCCCAAATCTCCCCTAGGTCCTCCAGTAGAGAGGTCAGAATAAGGGTACCCTTGTCTCTGTGGTCTATTTTAGTAGGGGAACCCTCCCCCAAAAAAGAAACGGTAAGAGGGCACTGGTGGGGACCTAGGTCCCTGACCTTCGAGTCCCTTCCCCGCCTGCAGAAGAAGAGCGCCCCAGGCTGGGCGCTCAGCAGGCCCTGGCGCCAGGGCCCCCTGAGAGCTCTCAGCAGCGAGGGCCCCAGAACTCAGCGATCCGAGGTCCGGATGGAGCTCACAAACTCAGATGGAACCAGCGCGCCTGGAAGAGAAAACAGCTCGGAAACAAGGAGGCAAGAAGAGTCTTCGGCCCATTGCGGTAAAACATCTTGAACAAATAATCTCTAAATGGACCGTTGAAGAAACCTCAAAGTCAGCTCGAGAACACACTCAACATGCTCAGGTGAATGGACTCGTGCCAAAAAATGGCGAGTGATCAGCCAGTGGAAGCCTCTTGCCGTTTCAAAACCACTTCAGAGCAACTGACCTCAGCAAGGCCCCAAGAAGCAACTTATTGTGCAGCGTGTGGGAAAAAGGAGATCTGAGATTGTCTGGTCCCTGGGCTAGCAGCATTGTCTCAGATGGGATGCTGGGGCTGCCCCGGCTAGGACTGCCACCTTCCAAGGTGCCCCGACGGCCTTTCGACAATTGCTCCAAGCTGTTTGGCTGGGATCTTCGCTTGCGTTAGCTTACGCGTTATACTGCCGCTTGTGCCTGTGCAATCATCAAGCTGCGCAACAGCATGCGGGTCATTTGAGGCACGTTCATTGTGGCTAGAAAGTTGCGAACAACTGAAAGGAGTTCAACCCCACAGCCAGCAAGTCACGTCAAAAAGCCTCTTGTGCGGAAGCCACAAGTGAGAAGCGACGCACTTTAGTCCTTCTAACAAGGGTTTAGCAGTTGCTTCTTGCCCCCTTGCAAAAGCTCAGGGATTTTTTCAAGCAAACAATATCAACCATAAGAAAAACAATCTGCAAGAGTGCCAACAGCTAAAGGTACCCAGGCTAAGTCCCAAGCAGATGGCTGAAAGTCGTCTCTAGAATAATATATGCATGGCCCTTCAAAGCTAACACGCAAATGATGTTCTGTTCTTCATGATGAGATATAAGCCCCAAACCATGCTCAATTACCCCCACCCCACGTACACCAAAACAAGTAACCCAAATGCAAACACGGGTTTGCATACGTGTTGCCGAATGTAAAACATAATATGCGCATGAATATGCTTATGCATACGTGTGTATATATATATATATATTATATACATATATTTATATTTATATACAATGTATTTAAGATGGCTCCCCTGCTTTGCCAGCTGCCCGCTTGCTCATTTTTTGCCCAGCGTCTTTCGTAGAAAAGGCCCTCGGCGCCCTTGGTAAAGGGCTCTGAGGCCGAGCGCGGCCTGGAATCGGATGGATCCAAAAGGGAGCGTACTCAGAAGAAGTCCCTTTCAATACTTACCAACATAAAAGGGGTCCCCAATTTTGAGGATCCAACAAATCGCTAAACTCCCTCTAATGCCATCCAAACTGGGGCCTTCTACATCTTAACATTCCAAAAAAACCTATTTGCTTCTACCAACATGGTTATAAAGGCTTACTAGCAATAAACCCCATGAAGCCAGGTGAGTGGCGTTCAGATGGTCCTGTTCAAATCTAGGTCGCAAGGAACTCTTGGGACTGTGGTAGCTTACGCGATCAGCCACGCCACCACACTTGCGCAGCGGCAACCTGTGCGAGGGCCCTTATGACCACCCCCCTTTAATCGCAATACAAAGTCGTTTTTGACCCCTGTAGTACCGTCGACTCACCTGGCTGGATCTTGCTGGTGAACTTCCTGGGATACTTCTGGTTGGAAAATTCTGGGGGTCACGTCCAATCATTCTTTCAAGGGCTCTGGAACACCACCCAAAAACCCGGCAAAACAGCAAGGCTCCTTTCTGGAAACCCCCCCCACACCCCAAACTAGTTGGGTATTCAAAAAACAATGGTTGAACATGGGGTTTTGAGCTCTGATTCTTGGGGGAACCTGCTTTTGGATGTTTGTGTGAGACGTCCTCATTTGAGACAACCCTAACCCGTATGAGGATTCCCCCTTCGGGGTTGGTCTTAAGGAAAACAAAAGGAACTCAACTGGGGAGTGCCAACACGAAACATGCACGCATATGCCGATCTTTGGTAGGGTACCACATATGGGCACAATGTGGTGGTTTAAAGTAAAACTAATGGGAACCACATAATTGTACCACCCCTTCAAAAGGATTGGTCTGATGCTGGCTTGCCTTAAACACCATCCAAAAGGGGTCTCCAGCTTTGACACGGACACACACTTGAACTCCAGATGGAGAATGCTCATCTTTCGAGTACAACTGATGAGTCTCGAGTACAACTGATGAGTCTCGAGTAAGATAAGTTTCGGCTCACGATGCACTCGGCTTCCCTCTAGTGACGAAAACGTTACCCGAAAGAACAAGAAGCACAAACAGCGCCGCAACCAAGGGGGCCAAAAGACATTCAGAGATCACTTGCAGGTACGCATTGAGGCGTCCCTCAACGCTTCCGGCCAAACTTCCATAGCTTCGTTGGCGTGGCTAGGAAGATGGCTGCCACGCCCCCTGCTGCAACAGAAAAAGGTTTTGGTGGCAGGGTTTTCTGCCACTCCGCACACACACGCCCCTCTACGAGGGGCGAGGTGAAGATCACATGCTCAAACTCGAATCTCTATCGTTGACCAAAATATCCTCCGCGGCGAGGGGAGCGAGACACCGCCCTAAACCGCTCAGAAGACGGGAACGAGAGATCACCACGTTGAGCGTTGCGAGTGTCGCCATAGAGGACTGAAGCGATTTGCGAAGCAGCCGGGCGATCACCATGAGAAAACGGAGTGGCGTAGGTGAAGGTCTCCTCAACTGGAACGGCATCGGAGTTTCGAACTTGACCAAGAGATTGATCATGTGGATAGTGAGTTGCGAAGGACTCAATCCGAGACAGAATGCGCTGGTACCCTTGATGTTGCCAGTCACGTATGTCCCATGCCTGGACTGGCGCATTGGGATCAGTCACCCGCTGCCATTCCCGAAAAGAATTTTCAGGTAGATCAGGTACGGCGTCACCGCGGTGCCATCGTTGAGGCTGTCCTGGAGTGTATATCCGCACCCACTCCTGATCCTGCCAGACCGAATATTCGAGCCATGGGTGCTGCTTCGAATCATCGATGTCCATGTCGAAGCAAGAGGCAAGGATTGTCGCGGGCTCCGATCCAGCTAGTAGATGAACAGGCACCATGCACAACCATGTTCAAACAACAACCAAGCAAGATCATGCAAGTGTAGAGACCACCCTTATTTTGTACGCTGCGCTGCTCATGCGAGTCTAGTCCTCAGTCAGCTCGAAGACGGGACTCATCTTGTCTCCGCCACTGTCGGAAGGATTCACGGGCCGGTAGGGGTCGGAGACCCCAATCGTCTCCGATGGTGTGTTTCCACGCGATGCACGTACTGGTTGATGAGGATGGGAAGCTAGACGTGCGCGAGCCGTCAGTTGTTGAGAAATGCCCTCCTGGAGACGAGTCAGTTCTTCAGTAGAGAAATCAGCCGCATCCGAGGACCTGAGAATCGCGTCTAACAGCTCCGGCGACATACTCAATGCCGCAGACTGCGTGGCCACGCTGTGATGATCAGGGAGATACATGGAATCAAATTCATGACCAGCGTGAGGGGCAGCGACTCTCCGATAGCCCTCTGTGGCCCAGTCTCGTTTGTACCACGTAGTGACTTGGACCTGCCCACCGACTGAGTCCTGGTTGGGAGCATAGAACTCCCTCCATTCTCTAAAAGTATGCGGAGGAGGTGGAGCATCATGTTCTTCTTGTGGCGTCCATGGTCCCGGATGAAAGATCTTGACCCACTGGGCATCTGGTTGTTGAGGATCCGGGCACCATTCCAGCCACGCCATGACAACGCAACCACGGAAAGACAAGTTGATAGGTGTACGGCTGCAGACCACAACGAGTGAAAGCGAAACAACTATCATAATGCAAACGACCACTTTTGTAGCACTGCGCGGCTCCAGCATCGAAGTCAGTCTCCCGAATCGAATTGAACTGAACAGACTCTCCAGGAAGGCGAGGACGGGCATCAGCCATCATGTGAATTAGATGATGCCGAGGAGGGGGTCAATCCAGCATACATGAGGTCCGGTGCACCCGAAGCGAAAACTGGCCTCGCTATGCTGGGATGTGGACGACCCAGGCGTTGGTACCCCCTGGTGACCCAGTCCCTGTAATACCAAGTGTAGAAGGTGGCGTAGGATACCGGTTGCAAAACCGTGCCTGTGGTTGTGCCGCCTGTGCTTTCCCTGGGCCAATACACTTCGAAGTGGTGGACCTTGCCCGATAGGTGGTCGGGTCATCCGGGGCCGGTCCCAGGGTGTCAGTGGCTACTGGATGCCACTGACCCGGTACATAGATCCGAATCCATTCCACACTCGTTCCTGCTGGCCCATTGACGATGTCATAGTCAAAATAGCGAGGTAGGACCCATCATGCTGCACCCTGCACTGTACTATTGAACATTTCAACCCGACAAGCTGCTCAAAGTTATCAAGGAAAGCGGCGAACACATAGAGACGGCATGCACACCACCAAGCAAGACAACCCAATGTGGACTCACATACAAAGCAAGCACAAACGCATCTTTATCCAACATGCTACTCAAGTGTCAATCCGAAACATTCCAAGGATCATGGAATGGTGGCGGTGACGGTTCCCGCCACGCCCCATCCGGTACCGACGAGCCCACCGAGGACTCGACGTCTGCATTCACGAGCATCGCGAATCCGATGGATTGTACAGGAGCTCCAAGTCGTTGATACCCTCGTGTTTGCCAGTCTCGGTACTCCCACACGTGGTAGGACACATAGGAACTGGGCGTGACTATGGGATCCATTGTGGTGCCTCCGGTGCTGTCTTCAGACCAGTACACTTGGAAGTGATATGATCTGCGCCACTCCCGATACGTGGAAGCGTGAAGTGGGTCAGGAACTGGCGCCTCATCGGGAACGGGTCTGCCCGGAGAGTAAATTCGAATCCATTCCACTCCTCTATCGATCTGGTACTCGAAATACTGGGGATTCATAGCGGCAATACAGGCTCGCACGACTGCTAAACTAGTCGAAAGTCTGCGGCAAGGACACACATGCATTGCCAACCGCACACATCCGCTGGAGAGTGAGGCAACTTTTCAAACTCAAGGTGAAACACAGCAACGAGGTCTGAAATGTCCGACTCCTAGGTTTCACTGTCGTTGATGTCGCGCACACCTGCAATGATAGTGTCCTGGTCGTCTGCGAGCAGAAGGGGAAAGACATTTCCGCCCATGGCGCAGGATGGCATGACAGTAATGATTGCAAGTTGCCGATGGGGACTGCGATGGACGGCCAGCACGTTTGGAAGAAAACACTGTAAAGGGCCGTCGAGATCGCCGCGGCGCTGAAGCTGATGCTGACCGAGATCGTTTGGACGAGCGCCCTGGACTGCGTGGTACTTCATCACGGGAAGGGTCAGTGCTGTAGATCGAGCGGCGTGTGCGCTGCGATTTCGAAGAGGTAGGGCAGGATTGTCCGCGAGGGGCTGAGATCGAGGGGCTGCGTACCGAGGGCATAAACTGTGGGTGTAGAATCACCGGTGGTGGTGGTGGTGGTGGAGGAGGAGGTGGAAGAAGCAATGGCAGACTTGGCGGGGGCGGAGGCGACGTAGTCAGCCGAATGGGTCTGTCGAGTAAAGCCCCGGGTCCATGAAATTGTAACCACGTCGGCTGCGCTCCATGGGTCCAGGTAATGTACGTCTGTACAACTTGTTCCGACATGATTTGAGCAACTCTGGCATGACTTCACTGCATGTCAACGACATCTCCCAAAACGACAAGCAAGATTAAGTCACGTGCAAGCAAGCAAATATCATGTGATCAACAACTCGAACCGGACACACCGCCGCAGCTTACCATTTAGTCCTCCGATGGTCGCTGCTGCATTTGACGACCGTGTTCCTAGCCGCGAGCCTCAAGTTGTTGATAGACCTTCCATGCCTGCTTGACTTCCTCAATCGGCTTCTGAAGAAACCGAGCTATGGTCTTATAGGTGGGCCTGGAATCCTTGTCTTTCTTCCGTCTCACCATTTCATCCAGCTCACCCTGTGTCCATGCCGTGAAAGGTTCACGGTATGCATTGCGAAGTGCAATGGTGAATTCTTGTAGAAGTTCCCTAGGACCATGAACCACCGTAGGCGACGGCCGGAACGACGAGGCACCTGGATGCGGACGTACCAAACCATCAGAATCCGAATCAGGCGTCGTAGGCGTCGTCTGTCCTGGCTCTCGGCCACCGTGTGCAGCGAAGGGAGCAAGTG